AGGACTGTGCAAATGCAGGTAATTATTATTGTAATTGTAAAAAGCGCGGTTAACTGGGAATGATTCTTATACCTTGACTTTCATAATGTTCACAATGCCTTCCGCTGTAGTCACGGGGACACTTGCAGTAGAAGTTAACGGATCCCCAGCTGCGGTCCCATCCGTTGGACGAACTAGTCAGACATACTCCACCATTGCGACAGGGGTTTGGATGACAGTAATCTGTAAATATAGATATATCAGCACGGTGATCAACCTGACCTGCATTTGCACAGTCCTTTATTTTTTACAATTACAATAATAATTGCGCAGGTTAACTGGGAATGATTCTTATACCTTGACAGTTAATGATGTCTTTACTAATTTCAGTACTATATTTGAAATTATTTGTCATGGTTCGGGTATTCAAAATTTCTGACCTTGTCCAGTTCACCCACCTATGTACTGAATTTTCGAATGTTTATTGTTACAGATTACTGTTATTCAAACCCCTGCCGCAATGGTGGAGTATGTCTGACTAGCTCGTCCAACGGTTGGGACCCCACATGGGGATCCGTTAACTTCTACTGCAAGTGTCCCCGTGACTACAGCGGCACAAGATGTGAACGCTATGAAATTCTGACCTTGTCCAGTTCACCCACCTATGTACTGAAGTTTCGAATGTTTATTGTTACAGATTACTGTTATTCAAACCCCTGCCGCAATGGTGGAGTATGTCTGACTAGCTCGTCCCACGGTTGGGACCGCAGCTGGGGATCCGTTAACTTCTACTGCAAGTGTCCCCGTGACTACAGCGGCACAAGGTGTGAACGCTATGAAAGTTCAAATCCAGGTAAGTAGTTTATATCTTTTTGAATACACGAACCATTACAAATAATTTCAAATAGTAATGAAATTAGTAAAGACATCATTAACTATAGATATAAACTACTTACCTGGATTTGAACTTTCATAGCGTTCACACCTTGTGCCGCTGTAGTCACGGGGACACTTGCAGTAGAAGTTAACGGATCCCCAGCTGCGGTCCCAACCGTGGGACGAGCTAGTCAGACATACTCCACCATTGCGACAGGGGTTTGAATAACAGTAATCTGTAAATGCATAAATACGACATACATAAACGAAATTATATTGGATGATATGAAATTTCTGTTCGAAACTTTCATAAATGAACAGTTTAAATCGTTCTACATGCTCGATCGTTTTACTTTCTTTTGCCTCTCCCAACTTTTTACTCCTTTGATACATGGTTTATGAAAGCGGCCTTACCTCGGCTACCACCTCCACTTTCTCCATTACGAATTCTACTAAAGAGAGAGTCATCGGCGAATGCCGCTCCCACAAGTAGTAGGATTACCAACATCTTCATTTTCCTGAGAATGAACAGATATAACGATATCATAATACGAACGCACGAACGATTATAAGCTAGCTGATATCCCGAGTATAATATAGTTCATTAGCGACATATATATATATGGATATATATAGTCCATCGCGAGCTAGAAATGTCCTTACAATAAAGACATGTTATCACATTGTCCAGATTTTGTAAAACCTACTAATTTAAACATTTCTATTGGCTGAAAGCTTATTGGTGTACTCCGTGACGTTAGGGCTTAACTTTTATGCAATTTCTGGTTATGCAAATTATACTCCGCTTTGAAAAGTAAGTAAGTAAGTATAACTTAAATAACTTTAAGTAAGTAAATCGTTCGTGTGTGAATAACTACTCACTAATAACCCTACCTTGCACCTTGCTCCTAGACCCTATTCGATGGCAGTCACTGTCAAGAGCGCTAGTGATGCAACGCTAGCTTCAACGATAGATAGACAGCAACACCGAGCTGCTTATATAACAGGGACACGTTTCACATGAATGAACAATTTCAACAACTAAACCACTTCGCGAACTTTGCCTTCGGGTTTAATATAAAGAGCTCAATGACTGTCAGGAACTCGTGCAAATATTTCGCGGAACTAGTACCTCGCCACGCCGTGGCACCTAGTGGTTTAATGATGTCAGTCTAGGATTGATATCATACGTGATTATAATATTTTCCATGGCTAACCAGGATCTAGCAGAGTCGTGCAGTGACAGCGTCTCGACGGAAAGCGAATGATATAAACAACAATGAACTCTTTTTTGCCGTACAAGCTTTTCTCAGAATTACTCTAACGTAGATGATATTATACACGATCATATGCATACCACGATGATATTACACACTAAAAACGTCGCCCGGGTATATCTATTTGAATTAAACACACACGCGAGCGCACGCGCACACACGCATCCGCCCGCACGCACGCACACACACACGCAGGAACAAAACGTTTTTAAAACGCAAAGAAAATTGCACGCGTGACTAATGATGTATGTAACGATATGTATGCATGGATGTATATATGTATAGATATGTATCAAGGGTTAATAAGGACAACGTTTCATTTTCACAAGTTGTCATTATTAACCCTTGATATGTATCAGGAGTAGATAATAGGGAACTATATCCCTATTATCTACTTCTATTCTAGATTCCCTATTATCTACTTCTGATATGTATGAATGTATGAGTGCGTAACGATAATATTGAAAGATTTATTGACTGCGCCCACATTACGTTTTCAAATCTATTTGTTTTTAAATACAATTTCAATTTTTTTTTAATTCTCGAACAGTACCTAATTGACTTGAATGTAGCTACTTAGGTCACGGGAAATTTGGCGCAAAAAAGAATACAAATATTTATTGCAAATGTTGTTTATTAACTAACGCTAAGTTGCAATCGCTTCAAAATGGTTCTATATGATAAATATGTATTACACGGTTAAAAATATCGAAACACTACGCAGAAGGCGAGATCATATATCCATATGGCTTGAACTTGTTTTGTTGAAAATAATTATGTATTTGCATACAGTACAAGCAGAACAGCAAATCAAACTGCCACCCCGATGTAATGTGGTCACTAATATAGCTAATACACATGCAAGTACATGCGCACGCAAGCACGCACATACGTAAACACACGCACACACACGCGGTTGAATTATTTTACCGCGGTTAAATTATGTGTAACAAGGCCTCTGATTGGGTAAAAGGTCCATAATTTAACCGCCGTTAAATTATTTCTACCGCGGTAAAAATAAATTTTCCGTGGTTAAATTATTTCAACAGCGGTATAAATTTTGGTGTCTGAGTAGGCCTACGGCGGTAAAATTATTGCCCTTTTACCAAATCACAGGCCTTATTATACAAAATTTAACCGCAGTTGAATTATTTTACCTCCGTCAAATTGTGTGTAACAAGGCCTCTGATTAGGTAAAAGGCCCATAATTTAACCGCGGTTAAATTATTTCTACCGCGGTAAAAATAATTTATCCGCGGTTAAATTATGTGTAACACGACCTCTGATTGGGTAAAATACCAATAAATTTAACGCGGTTAAATTATTTCAACAGCGGTAAAACTAACTGTCTGTGTCTGTTTGTCTGTCTGTTCGTCTGTCTGTCTGTCTGTCTCTCTCTCTCTCTCTCTCAACGCGCGCGCTCTCTCTGCGTCTTCTCTCTCGTCTCTTCTTCTCTCTCTCTCTCATCTCTTCTCTCTCTCTCTTCTTCCTCGCGCTCTCTACTCTCTCTCTTCTCTCTCTCTCTCTCTCGCTCTCTCTCTCTCTCCTCTTTCTCTCTCTCTCTCTCTCTCTCTCTCTCTCTCTCTCTCTCTCTCTCTCTCTTTCTCTCTCTGCTCTCTCTCTTCTCTCCTCTCTCTCTCTCTCTCTCTCTCTCTTCTCTGTCTCTCTTCTCTCTTCTCTTCTCTCTCTCTCTCTCTGTCTCTCTCTCTCTCATCTCTCTTTACTATATTGGTCTCGGCGTCCATGTCACCTCTCTCCTCCCCGTCTCACCCCTCCACCTCCCTCTCTGCGCCATAACTCCCCTCCTCTCTCACCACACTTCTCCCTCTCTCCGTCACCCCTAGCTCTCTCCTTTCTCGGGCCTTTCTCGGCCTCACTTTCCAGGTCTCTAGCTCTATCTCCCTCGCTCTCGCTCCGAGTCGCTTGTTTGCACGCGATGGATTATGCGGACGAATACTTGTGTACAGGTTTCTGCTGCCATGTGCTTGACATCTATGAGTCGTTATCGGGCGTCGGTGAATAAAACATATTTGTATAATTCTGACACTCATCTCTCTATGCGAAATGTGCGCAAGATTGCGTTCGCTTGTGCTAAGATAGACTGTTATAAAATACTACCATACAAAAGCCCTAAAAAATTATCACCCGTAGATTGGCTAGCTAAAGATACACATCGGGCAGAACAAGTTATTACAATTGCAGATGTGACCAGATAAATAATTTTGTACGCATTCATGTAATAATAAGGATTACTGTATGTGCGTTGTATGGAACCACATTACTATAGATAATTTGATCTTACATGAATTCGCTGTTCTCAATTTATTTAGTCACGGCCTATGACAACGTGTCTGTTCGTCCGCATTTGCTGTTTTTCTAAACGAGTCAGCATATCTAGAAGCGGTTTGGGAATAAAATAGGACTATCGTTTCCTTTTGGCTATTGAAAAGAGTCGTTGTTTGCTCGAGTTTTTGTCTTCATTGCATAGCGATATGCCTGGTGTATGAACGTATTTCACTCACCTATAATGCAAACTCTTAGGTTGGTGTGAACCATTTTGCCATGCCGCGCCTACCTGCGACTCACTTAAACCTTTTTTCAACAAATCGGGGAGACCTCATTTGCGGCAACCTTTTATCATGAACATAAAAGCTATACTTGTTAAGTATATGGTATGGAGTTAACTATAAGCGATATGGTTTAGATTGCGTTCAGTGCTTTCATGGATAGGATGTAGATAGGATCAGGATAACATAATCACTGCCTTTTCGAAATTTTAACCATTCTATGCAGGAGTCCTCTATTTTTGCCTCTTTTCCATCTCAAGCAATGCGCGGGCTGTTATCGAGCGTGTGGTTTTATATATGAAGAGCTTTAATAAGTACATATTATCGAGCACTGCAAATTGCGAATCATATATATTAGAAAACTACTAAGCGTTATTATTTGTTGGAACTCTTATTATTGTGAGGCCGGCGCTTTCGCGGTCCCATGCATGTGGCCGGATAGTTTGATGTGTGAAGTGTAACGGTTGTAATAGTTTCATCGGGTACGTCGCAGTCACTTTCCACAGTCCGATGTTAACACGTTCGCATTGTCACGGCTCATATCACAGTCGTGTCACAGTCACGTCACTAGTGTCACGGCTCTCCACGATTCATTTCGCCCCAGTCACGTTCGTGTGCCGTTCGGTCGACGGTCCCTTGGCTGGCGTTCGCCAATTACGTCACAGCATGTCCACAGCTAGCGTCACCCGTAAGCGTCACAGTAGGCGTCGCAGTCACTTCGCGTTATATCGTGACTCGCGCTGAAAAGTTAAGTCAGTGGTCACCGTCCCGCACTCGTCGTGCGCCAGTTGCGGTCAAAGGCCATGTCAGACGCAGTAGGCCCAGCACTCGATTATTCTGCTTCGTCTGGGCTTCTGTGGCGCGCCCTTTCATACAGGTGGGACTAATTAAGAAGGTGTTAATTAATTGACTAATTAACCACAGGTCTGTCAGGAGAACCTCCTTAGAGCCACCTTTTCCCAGCAAACACTACGAGCAAAGATGGTAAATACATTTATATATATATAGTTTAATTGAAAATAAACAATTTAATTTCGTGTATAACAATCACCAGACTACAGCACTATCTGTTATCATCGCATCACCTATGCACTATCATACCCCACATAGTTAACTTGTAAATATCAGCCTTATATTCGTCTATTTATTTATGTTACTTTAGTCAGCTCGTAATTGCACGCAATTATTTACGTATATAACTGTTGTTATATATATATATATATATATATATTTATTATATAATATAATATATTAATTATATAGTTATATAGTATATTTCATTTATTTTGTTTATTTATATATATATGAATGCAGCTAAACATAAAAACATGCACCATCTGATTTATGTGTGTTTACATCTTTGCGAACGATCTTCCGTTTCCATTACTCATGCGCTCAGTATATGGGCACACGCACAAGTCAACTTGAAATTTAATTACTAGTTCTCGAGCAGGCTGTCCTTAGGGCAGAATACAAACGACGCATATCTTTCTTGTAGATTTACAGTGACCTTCTTAAAAGCTTTTTTCATCGAAGTCTGCCTGAAATTACATCGACCTGCTACAATCTCGTCTCTGGCTGTCAGGCGGATTCAATTATATTGTCTAGACTCGCCATGATTGGTCCTCCCCAAGATGATAGACATTCGCATATTTGAACTCCATGCTTCCACACGCAATGCCCTCCGTTCCTACAGTCGTACGTTCCACATGATCCTTGCTCATCTGAATGAAGAAATCAGTGCATATGACGTCACGATCGTATATTATCAGAGCTTAATATAACCCTAATAGCCTCTAATTAGTTCTGAAATATGCGTAACTGTATGATGAAAGCAAACATGACTAACAGGCGATTGGCAAGTGAATTATATAAGCACGCTTGGGTAGACTCCAGGCTGACATCAGAGCATTTACGTTATACTGTAGCAGGTGTGAATAATGACAAATGTGATTATAGCGTAAAATGAATATGCGGAATATGAAGTGGAATGTTAGGCGGAAATAATAGCGGGAATATTAAGCAAAATATGAAGCGGAGTATGAGGGAATATTAAGCCGGAATATTAGAGGAAATATTAAGCGAAATGTGAATATTAAATCTCTGATTATAGCGTTACATACCACGATCCCGGTAATTTTCACATCGCCGTCCAGTGTATCCAGTAGGGCACTTGCAGTAGAAGTTAACGGATCCCCAACTGGGGTTCCAACCGTTGGACGAGCTAGTCAGACATACTCCACCATTGCGACAGGGGTTTGAATGACAGTAATCTGTAACAATAAACATTCGAAACTTTAGTACATAGGTGGGTGAACTGGACAAGGTCAGAAATTTTGAATACCCGAACCATGACAAATAATTTAAAATAGTACTGAAATTAGTAAAGACATCATTAACTAGATATAATCTACATACCTGAATTTGAACTTTCATCGCGTTCACACCTTGTGCCGCTATATCCAGTGGGACACCTGCAGTAGAAGTCAATAGCTCCCCATCTGGGATCCCAGTCTCTGGAAGAGCTAGTTAGACATACTCCCCCATTGCGGCAGGGGTTGTTTCGGTGGCAGTAATCTGAAACTAGTGAAAACATTCGACACTTCAGTACGTATAGGTAGTTGAACTGGGCAAGGTTAACTTTGCATTTGAATACCTAAACCATGACAAATAATTTCAAATAGTACTGAAATTAGTAAAGACATCATTAACTAGATATAAACTACTTACCTGGATTTGAACTTTCATAGCGTTCACACCTTGTGCCGCTGTAGTCACGGGGACACTTGCAGTAGTAGTCAACGGATCCCCAGCTGCGGTCCCAGCCGTTGGACGAGCTAGTCAGACACACTCCGTGATTGAGACATGGGTTTGGATAACAGTAATCTGTAAATTCAAAAACATGACACCTCGGTGAACAAAT